AAAAAAGGGGGGGGGGGGGGGAAGCTAGTGTGGAAGCCCAAGACCTGACGTCAAACAGTGCTCGCTGCAACCCTGGAGAAGAATAGGATTTAGCAGCTGGGGAGGATGGGGCCGAACTGTCTTTAAAGCCCAAGTGAGCACGAGTGATGGAAGCCTGGGTCAAGCAAGGGTTGAAGTGGTTTCTAAATGGCTAGTTTTTTTAAACCTAGCTCTGCTCTATGGGGTCACCTCAGTCCAGACTGTACAGCGGGATGAGGGCAGTGGCCCAGAGAAGGCTACTTCAGCTGGGTCCCCCTTCCCGCTGGTGGCACCAAAAGCAGTTTGAAAGACCAGGCTTAAGCAGAACCTGGTATCAGTTTGCTACTGGCTAGCCACTTGCTGAATGTCCCTAATCACACGTTATCGATTCCCCCTCCCTCTACGCAGAGCCCACACCACACTTCCGGCTTTCTGCAGCCCCACTCCCTGTGGAAGCCACTGCCCCTCAACTTCTCCCCCCGCTCCCCATGCTAGCTCCATTCAGTGGCTTCCTCCAGCCAGCTGCTGGAAGCACTGGAGGGGTTGGCCTGAGGAATAGGGGAGGGAAACCAAGGGACGCATAGAAGGTCACAGGCTAGATGAAGACACTTTTCTGTCCCCCCTCTCCCCGGGATGGAAGTTGTTACCAATGTTTTATACGTCAGGGTAACAGAAGCAAGGAGCAGGGTGGCTGACAAACCAGTCCCCTGTGCATGTTCACGACCCAGGAAGCACCAGCCCGCTTTGTAGGAAAAAAACTCCCTGGAGAAGCTCCGGGGCTAGCGGACAAGCCTAGGACTCAGCTGGAACAACATTGGGGAAGCCAAAGGGCCAGCACCTCACAGCAGATCAGAACAAGGGAGGAGATGGGCACACACAGCGGGGATCCGTTTGGGAAGGAATGCAGGGGACCAGAGTAAACTGCAGGCACGGAGGTCTCCCATCAGCCCTGGCTTTCCAAGGGGAATCCACGCCATGGTGGGAAGACACACTGAACACACATAGGGTTGCCAGAAAGCTCAAATACTGGACTGTCCGGTTCAAAACCGGACACCTGGCAACCCTAAACACACACCAGCCGGAGCACCCAGCACAGGCTGTAACAGGTGCACAAGGCTCAGACCAGCACACCCACACGCAGCTTCCCGCTGAGACCCCATGCCAACCACAAAAGAAGACACAAGGGGGACCTTCCCATTTCTCACCAGAACCCTCGCTCTGAGCTCCCCTGAACTGGGCGCTGGCTGCCTTGTTTGGCTGAAAATTAAGAACAGCGCAGGACTTTCACAGCCTCCTTCAGCTTGGGGCTCGGTCTCCCCTCTGCTTTAAGCTCCCTCGATGGCAGAAGGAGTCTATGCCAGGAATGTGCCCCTCCGTTCCCCACCACAACCTGCAGGGAAGCTGCACAGCTCCGCACGGAGGAGAGACAGAAGGAAGGACATTGGAGAGACACGTTTCCCCAGTCCTGGCTGCTGCTTGGACACCTGGGGGTGACGCGTCCAGAGAAGTTAGTGGCTTCACTTATCTCCACCCTCTCCCTAAAATAAACAGTGTGGGAGCTGCCTCCCAGGCTAGGGGTGGCTAGCATCCATTTCACTGAACCAAAGCCACCCTATACCTGGCTTTAGTGCTCCCCCACCAAGGGCCGCATCACAAAAGCAACCATAGCTGCTAGGCCACGCAAGGGGCACTGGCAGAGCCTTGGGCTCCTACACTTACATCTGCCTCCAGATCAGTCTTGTTTGCCTGAGTGCCAAATGCAGCCAGCGGATGCTGGGCGAGCAGACAATAAAGGATAT